CATACAGAAAACCTACAGCTTTTCTCACGAATAAGTGATTTTTCTCCCGCAGTAGGTACTATACTTTCTGCGCTGTCTATGCTGAGCTCTAACTCTAGTTATTGGTGAAGAGGAAATAAAACAACAAAAACATCATATCTGTGAGGCGCTCAGAGAAGGAAGCTATCCCTGTGATGGAAACGGTGGCTCACAGCTGCAGAGAAGCTCAGGCACGGGTCAAGGGAAAATGGAGCAGGTTATCCATAGAACTGCTTCAAAGTCATAATGAAAGAAGAGAGTAGTATGAAAAAAACCGGAAGGATTTTAATACAATCCAAACCTTTACATACATACATGTAAATCTTTACACACACACACACAAATCTTTCCAGGAAATTCCACCAAGCAACCAGAATTGGGAACCACTGTCCTAAATTATTGGGTTTCAAAATTCATCGAGAAAATAGAAGTCACAAGATAGAAATGGCCTCGTCATCCCGCCATCTCAGGAAGCTTCTGACAATGAGGTGATCCTGCTCCTATCAGATGGCATCTCCTCCATGTGGCTCTGAATCTCCATCTGTTTCCCTTTTGCAAGAACCTGACTCTTGTAATTATCCCCCTTTCCCTGACTCTCAGCAGTGAACCCTTGTCTTGGGACTACTCTTCTTTCTTGATTCAAAGGGATCACATTTGCCTGGCTCTACTCTTCCCTCTGGCTATTTTCTCCTGGGCTTTTTGGCCTCTCCTCCTATACCTGACATCTAAAGAGTGGAGGCCCAGGAACTCTTTTCTGTTCTCTACACTGTCTCCCTAAGTAATCTCACCCAGTCCCACTTCTCTTCATCTCCACTTCTACTATCAAAATCCAAGACACTGCTATCTCACTTTGATGACTGCAAGAGTCTCCAACCCAATCTTTCTGTTTGTACTATTACTATACATCATCCAGCTAAAAAAACATAAGCAGATCTGAAGTCTAAAAATTCCCCAATGGTTCTAGCCTCCTGTCCTTTTGAAGATGCTGAGGTATATACCCTGGGGTTCATCGTTGTATGCCAGAAAAATTTAGGACCAGGACACACACGAGGAGTTTAGGAGCGGAGTTTTAATAGGCAGATGACAAGAAAAAGAGGTCTCTCTCTCTTTCTCTCTTTTTTTTTTTGAGACGGAGTCTCACTCTGCCACCCCAGGCTGGAGTACAATGCGTGATGCTGGCTCACTGCAACCTCCACCTCCTGAGTTCAAGCGATTCTCCTGCCTCAGCTTCCCCAGTAGCTGAGACTACAGGCACATGCCACCACACTCGGCGAATTTTTTAATTTTAGTAGAGACAGGGTTGCACCATGTTGGCCAGGCTGGTCTCAAACTCCTGACCTCAGGTGATCCACCCACCTCAGCCTCCCAGAGTGCTGGCATTACAGGCATGAGCCACTACTTCCAGCCTCTTCTTTATATGGAGAAAGAGGTCTCCAAATAGAAAAGACAGGCTGGTGGCAAATGCACTGAATTTTCGACTCCAGTTTGAGAAGCCAGTGTCTTATCTACATAGGGCTCACAGATTGGTTCAACCAAGTATGATGTCTACATAGCACGAGGGAAGGTTGATCACTCCACTCTAATCTTACTATGCAAATGGACTTTCCAGTTGATCGGTCCCATCTTCTCTGCTCCTTGCAGTACATGTGGCTGGCAGAGAAGGGAAGATAGAGGCGCCATTTGAACATGTCTAGTCCTTAGGTTCATTCATTCACGCAAGCTCCCAGCATTCATTCGTGCAAGCTCCCAGCTTGCAGGCTGCTCTTTGTTAGGAAATGATTTGGGGCTGCTTTTCATTCAAAATTGAAGCCTTACTGAGGACTCCTATAACCTTACTATCTGCCTAAGTAATTTCTTCTTAACTTCTGTATCGCCTTGTGAGGCTAATTCTGGGGTACATCCTATTTTTTTCAGAGGGTCTCCAACAGGATGAAGAGTCAGTTATTGTCTATATCAAACCCAGTTTAACATCAATCCTTCCTTCTTTGTCTTATTCTCTCCGCCTTTATTCTTGTATTCTGAGATCACCTCCCAAACAATTTGCATCCATGCCTTTGTCATAGGCTCTGCTTTGAGGGGAATCCTAGGTAGGCAGTCATTTTATCAGTTGGGATCATATCATGCAAAAGATGACCCATTTAAGCTAGAAAACTAAAAATAATTTAGTAAGGGGAGCATTTCTGAACATGAGGTAAGATAAGGGAAATGAAACATGGTGTAGAACCCCAGGACTAGTAACGGCAGGGGGCAGTCACCACCCCTAAGTCTGAAGAGGCAAAGGCAATAAGTGGTTACTAGACTCAAAAGAAAGAATTGAGGAGAGCTGCTGAACTAGAGCTGTGGCTTTCAGTAAAGGGACCAGCGTCAGGACTCAAGTGAGACAAGCATTCTCAGGTTGGTGTCAATGTCGGCCTGAGAGTGATGGCTTCCTTAAATCTGGCATCCTAGGCCTCTGCTCGCCTCACCCTAGTCCCAGCACAGTAATCTCATGAAGTTATAATTAGATGAATTAAGGTATAAGAAGCTTAGAGAGAGATCTAGAACATGCTGTTGTTGGTATTGTTACTACCATTATTGTCTATATGATGCAAAAAAGTTTGAATATGTCATGATGGTTCCTGAAGTACACTTACAGACTGGGCTTATTGCCTAAGAACCTCTGCCCTGATTACGACCTTTTCATTGTGTGGTGAGCATTCACAAAATAGCCTTCAAACTTTATTGCCCTCTTGCTAATTCAGTTATTTCCAACCTTCCATCATGTCCTTTGCCTCTAACAACAAAACTCCAGAATTCTTGGTCTGAGATTCAAGATTAAGGCATGGAGTTGGAAGAGACCACAGGACTCATGTAATTTCTCCCCTTTATTTTACAGGAACACAAAGAAAGGCCCAGCAAAGTTAAGTGACTTCTTCAAAGCAACATTCCAATCTTTCTTCCAAGGAACTAGTATTTACCCTAACCATGTGTGCCCACAGACATTCATTTTCAAGTGCTTCCTCTTTTATGAAGGCTTCCCAGTTCACCCCATTGAGAAATCGATGCTTCCTACTCTAAACTCAAATAATAGTCATTCAAATACTGAACAGTAAGAGGGAGCAAAAAAAGACCTAATAGCTATTTCAAGCCTGAGCTTCCCTGTGTTCGACGATATGATCAGACACTGGAGAGTACGGTTTTACAATACGCTGATTTATAAAGCAGGATGCCAATTCACCAATAACTAATTCAATAATAATAGCACAAACAGAACAGAAATGGTTGCTACAACTTAGGTTGGCTATTCAATATAATCTGGGGTCAGTAAACTTTTGTTCTGTAAAGTTAGAGTGAATATATGAGAGAATAAATAATAAATAGTAAATATATGAGGGCTACAAGCAGTCTCTGCTGCATATTTTTCTTTATCTTTTTGTTGTTGGTGGTGGTGGTGGTGTTGGTTTGTTCTGCTTCTTACAATGCTTTTAAAAATGTATGTCTAAAAAAAATGGCCAAACACGGTGGGTCACTCCTGTAATACCAACATTTTGGGAGGCTGCAGTGGGAGGATTGCTTGAAGACAGATGTTCAAGACCAACTTGGGCAGCAAAATGAGACACCGTCTCTACAAAAAACAAAATCAACAACAACAAAATAACCAAGCATGGTGGCATGTGCCTGTAGTCCCAGCTACTTGGGAGGTTGAGACTACGTGGAATACATGTAAAACCATTCATAGTTCATGGTACAAAACAGGAATCAATTCCCATTGATGCATAGACTTTCCATAATTTAAATTGTGCCAGATGTAATTTTAATTATAGCCATTTTTTTTTTTTTTTTTTTTAGTTTCGCTCTTGTCACCTAAGGCTGGAGTGCAATGGCACCAACTCGGCTCACTACAATCTCTACCTCCTTGGTTCAAGCGATTCTCCTGCCTCAGCCTCCCAAGTAGCTGGGATTATAGGCACCTGCTACCACACCTGGCTAATTTTGGTATTTTTAGTAGAGACAGGTTTCGCCATGTTGACCAGGCTGGTCTGGAACTACTGAACTCAGGTGTTCCAAGCACCTCGGCCTTCCAAAGTGCTGGGATTACAGGCGTAAGCCACTGTGCCTGGCCCACACTTTTTAATTTTGTGATTTATTGCCTGAAAAACTGTCTCACTGTGGTGGTGTTTTTTTTCCCCCAGATTAATAATGAGACTGAACATCTTTGCATATTTATTAGCCATAGCACTTCCTCTTTCTTCCACACTGGTATTTCTTATCTTTCTTTTTCAATAAGCTATTAATCACTAAAATCTCCTGTCATCTACATTTCTTCACAAAAACCATATTACTTTTGGTCTTTATAGATTATTTTACATTTGCCACATTTATACATAATGTGCTACCTTTGGGGGCATTTAGAGTGTGCATTTATAAACTACCTTGAGTTGGATTTACATGGGGTAATTTTCCATATATGGCTAATTCTATGCTCATCAGAATAAGTTTCCCCGGCATGTCATTTCCAAAGATGCATGCTATTGAAAATCTAGCCCTTTATTCTCACAAGTTGCATTTCCACGACTATAAGGTGACAACTGAATAGACTCATCTTACTATTCCACGCATGGTACCAGGAACATTGCGTGCTGCTAATACATTTTGTATAATTTTTCTCTCCGTGTATGACGGACGTCCTGAAAACTACCGTCCACAATTACTTCACAGCTAGCTGGCCCCAGCACTTGGCGCCCCGAGGGTTTTCCTAGTCCCTCTCTGCCACTTCACGTTGGGAATTGGACAAGAGGCATTGGGGTCTCTTACCTATAATAACAAAGCAATGGACTTCCTTATTAGTTCGTTTCCCAAATAGGGGGTGGGATACACAACCGAGGGAGAATGGGGAAACAGCTTTCAAGTCTTTGGACCATTGCGCCTTTCTGTGGGCGAGCCTTTCCAGACCAATGACATTTTCTTTACTTATATTCCATAAATAGCAGAACTACATTTACCACAAAGACCCGACATTCATGGTCATGGATCCTTGAGCACGGTTTCCAAGAGCAAACTGTACAAACAATCTCCGAAACACTGACGCATAAGCGAAAACACACGCACGTGTCTAGGTCTTCCCCCGCGGCGCAAGTTCTTTCAAACTAAGCAGACAAAAATCGTCTTAGCATCGTGTTGCACACTTTCGACACAACCTTATCGGAAAACATAACACCCGAACAAAATTTTTTGAAATACATTATCAAAAACGATGCCAATCCCTTTTGACTTGTGTTCTTTTTTATTTTTTTATTTTTTTGGCTTTTAGCTTTGGGGAATTTATTTTGCATTTCCAAACTGCTTCTGCCTGTCGGCGCCTGTGTGGAAACTGTAACGAGTCTCGGAGAGGCTTCCGGAGAGGCGGGGCGGAGGCTTGACGTCATCGCCACGGGGCGGAGGCGACCGCGGGACCGGTCTATGGGAGGCTCCGCGTGCAGAGACGCCAGCCGCCTGGCTTTGAAGAGAGCTTGATTCTCCTCAGCCGGACGCATTCCCCTGTGATCCGCCCACGTCGAGTCCTGAACGGAGATGGCAGACGATCTTGGAGACGAGTGGTGGGAGAAGCAGCCGACTGGAGCAGGCAGCAGCCCAGGTACCCACTCGTGCCCGTCCTCCTACAGGGCCTCTCCCGGAGCCCTTCCGTGCGCCTCAGCCCTGGCCGCTTCTGGCAGTCGCAGTGTCTGCCTGGCAGGGATGTGCACCGCCGTGTGAGCGCGTGAGCATCTCGGGGAAACTGGTGCGAGAGACTTTTTAACACGTGAAACAGACAACTATGACATTAACTCAGATCTGCCTGCCCGCCAGGAAGGACCCTTTCCCAAGCTTTATTTTTTCTTTTCTTTATTTCTTGAGAATGGATAAGACAGTTTTTGTGTCTTTTTTTGTGTCTGTGTGTGATGGTTAAGGGTCATTCCTGAACTGCTTCAATTCAGGGTTACTCCTCGGACTGGGGTCAGAAGCGGAGATGACTGCTTCAGACTGCTTCCATGCAAATCACGACTCCAGTATTCTGATACTGTTTAGCCTCCTTTTCCTCATCTGTAAAATAATGGTAACAATAATGTCCATTTCAGAAAGTTGTGAAGATAGTACCGTAATGCACTTGAGCACAGTGCTTCACATATTATAGATGTGCGGTAAACGTTAAGTTGCTGTATTTCTCGTGGTCATCGTCATTATCATGTAATTTGGAATACTAGAACTGGAAGGAGGCTTAAATAGGGATCATCCTTTGAACTCACTTATTTTACAGATGAGAAACATAACCTAAAGATGTCAAGTAACTTGACAAGTTCACAAAGCTAGCTCCTTTCAGAAACAATGCTAGAATTCAGTTAACACAATTTAAATAGTTTCTGCAGTGTTCACCAACGCCTGATGCAGTGGGCATTTCATCCCTAAGTAGCATTAAGTAACCCCCCATGTCAGGCTGGCCTTGAACTTTTTAAGTTCCATCACATTTACTAAGCAATTATTGGTTGGTTGGTTGGCTTTTATTACTTCTCAGGGTCTGCCTCTCTTCTCTACAAGAGGAAACAGGGCCAAAGTTGGATTCATACTTTTGTCATCCCAGGGCCCTGCACGTGTTAGACACTTGATACCTATTTGCTGCAAACAGTCTTGAAATACTAGTTGTGAAATATCCATTAAAAATAACCAACTTCATTTGTTGCATTGTTTCCAGAAGGTCAAGCCTTCAGGTACAAACTAAGCAGATGCCATTTTTAGAAAGGTAGCCAATGTAACATTTCCTTGATTAAAATTCCTGACTCCTTTGCAGCCCTGTGGTGTTCCACATTTACTTTAATAACTACCCCTCCCAACTCAGGTGTTACAAAGCTCTATTTTATGGTATGATTCAAGAGGTATAGAGACCATTTAAGAAATAGTTGAATTCTGTTTAAATGGTGAAGGGGATCCCAGTTCTTTATTCTAGTCCTCACTATGTGACTTTTGAGTTATTCATCCTTGGAAGAAAGGCAGTCAACATGGATTGAGTATTTATTATGTGACAGGTATTTTCATAAACGTGAATTGATTTAATCTTCATAACATCCTTAAAAGGTAAGTGTTCCCTTCATTTTTATAGGTGAAGAAATAGAAAAAAGTTAAGTCATGTTCTTAGGAGCAGACATTGAAGAAGAGGTCTGGGAAGAATTTAGTCAAGTGATTGATTTTGAAAGTCACGCTTTTCCCACTACTACTATGTGAATTCTCTGGGTCTTAGTATCATCTGTAAAGAGCTGTTACAGATCATCTTTTTCAGGGTTTTACCAACCAACAGTTTTAAACATTGTATCTAGTAGAACTTTAAATTGCTACAGCCTCCTTCCTCTAAGTTGCCAGAATTCTCATCAGGACAGTGTGTTGGAGTGCCTAAAATTGCTCTACTTCTTAAGTTCCTTCTAGCCATGAGACTAAGCTTTGAAAATTACTGACCTTAAATTTATCAGAGGCCTTTGCTTTGTTCACTGCTCCTAAACGAATGCATTTATTTGAAATTTCCTTGATAATTCACTGGCAGTTTGCCTAACTGTAATCTGAACAGCGTTTGTAATTCAAAAGAAATCACAGCTGAACCATTTCAGATTTCCTGATTCTTCTTATGTTGATGGGATCTAGCCTTGATCCTAGAGCTCACGGGTTACATACCTGGCTGCCTTCTTGAAGTCTTTACTTAGTTATTTGATATGGATGTCAAGTACATTCAATTGTTTATTTCAGCCTAAAATATACAAATTATGTTTTGTTTTGAAAGTCAAAGGAGAATATGTTAAATCAGAGAAAGGAAAGATAGTTGTAATGGTGCTTCCATTCCTGCCTACAAAAATAAACATCTTTCACTATCACCTGTTCCCAGTTCACATCCATGTTAGCAAGGCATTGGAAAATTTCAGACACTTCCAAATGCTTGTTGGTTATACATGGTTTATAACACCTATCTAATGTACTTAATTATCGGTTTATTGTTTAACTATCTAAGGAACTGTACTATTTTTTGGCTGTTGTCATGTCTTCTTAGATGTGGTATGTAACATAAAGTTTTCATGACTCTTTAAAACCTGTCAGTCATCTTTGTGCTAGAGACCTGCATTGCACTGAAGCTCAACATGGGATCTGGCTCTTTTTTTTTTTAAATTGTACTTTAGGTTCTGGGGTACATGTGCAGATCATGCAGGATTGTTGCATAGGTACACACATGGCAGTGTGGTTTGCTACCTCCATCCCCCCATCACCTACATCTGGCATTTCTCCCCATGTTATCCCTCCCTGACCTCCCCACCCACCTCCACTGTCCCTCCCTTGGCCCCCACCAACAGACCCCAGTGTGTGATGCTCCCTCCCTGTGTCCATGTGTTCTCATTGTTCAACACCTGCCTATGAGTGAGAAAATGTGGTGTTTGATTTTCTGTTCTTGTGTCAGTTTGCTGAGAATGATGGTTTCCAGATTCATCTATGTCCCTACAAAGGACATGAATTCATCATTTTTTATGGCTGCATAGTATTCCGTGGTGTATTTGTGCCACATTTTCCTTATCCAGTCTATCATCGATGGGAATTTGGGTTGATTCCAGGTCTTTGCTATTGTAAACAGTGCCTTTATGAACATGTGTATGCATGCGTCTTTATAATAGAATGATTTATAATCCTTTGGGTATATACCCAGTAATGAGATTGCTGGGTCAACTGGAATTTCTATTTCTAGGTCCTTGAGGAAGCGCCACATTGTCTTCCACAATGGCTGAACTAATTTACACTCCCACCAACAGTGTAAAAGTATTCCTATTTCTCCACATCCTCTCCAGCATCTGTTGTCTCCAGATTTTTTAATGATCTCCATTCTAACTGGCGTGAGGTGGTATCTCAATGTGGTTTTGATTTGAATTTCTCTAATAACCAGTGATGATGAGCATTTTTTCATATGTTTGTTGGCCTCATATATGTCTTCCTTTGAAAAGTGTCTGTTCATATCCTTCTCCCACTTTTGGATGGGTTTGTTTTGTTTTCTTTCTTGTAAATCTGTTTTAGTTCTTTGTAGATTCTGGACATTAGCCCTTTGTCAGATGGGTAGATTGCAAAAATTTTTCCCATTCTGTTGGGTGCTAGTTCGCTCTAATGATTGTTTCTTTTGCTGTACAGAAGCTCTGGAGTTTAATTAGATCCCATTTGTCTATTTTGGCTTTTGTTGCCAATGCTTTTGGTGTTTTAGTCATGACGTCCTTGCCTATCCCTATGTCCTGAATGGTTTTGCCTAGGTTTTCTTCTAGGGTTTTTATGATGTTAGGTCTTATGTTTAAATCTTTAATCCATCTGGAGTTAATTTTAGTGTAAGGTGTCAGGAAGGGGTCCAGTTTCTGTTTTCTGTACATGACTAGCCAGTTTTCCCAATGCCATTTATTAAACAGGGAATCCTTTCCCCATTGCTTGTTTTTGTGAGGTTTGTCAAAGATCAGATGGTTGTAGATGTGTGGCATTGCCTCCATTCTGTTCAATTGGTCTGTATCCTGTTTTGGTACCAGTACCATGCTCTTTTGATTACTGTCACTTTGTAGTAATCAGGTAGTGTGATGCCTCCGGCTTTGTTCCTTTTGCTTAGGATTGTTTTGGCTCTGCAGGCTCTCTTTTGGTTCCCTATGAAGTTTAAGGTTTTTTTTCCAGTTCTGTGAAGGTCATTGGTAGCTTGATGGGGATAGTGTTGAATCTATAAATTACTTTGGACAGTATGGCCATTTTCACAATATCAATTCTTCCTAACCATGGGCATGGAATGTTTCTCCATTTGTTTGTGTCCTCTCTTATTTCATTGGTTTATAGTTCTATTTGAAGAGGTCCTTTACCTCCTTTGTTAGTTGTGTTCCTAGGTATTTTATTCTCTTTGTAGCAATTGCGAATGGGAATTTGCTCATGATTTGGCTGTCAGTCTTATATTGGTTTATAGAAATACTTGTGATTTCTGCACATTGATTTTTGTATCCTGAGACTTTGCTGAAGTTGCTTATCAGTTTAAGGAGATTTTTGGGCTGAGATGATAGGGTCTTCTAAATATACAATCATGTCATCTGCAAATAGAGACAATTTGACTTCCTCTTTTCCTAAGTGAATACCCTTTATTTATTTTCTTGTCTAATTGCTCTGGCTAGAACTTCCAACACTATATTGAATAGGAGTGGTGAGAGAGACATCCTTGTCTAGTGCTGGATTTCAAAGGAAATGCTTCCAGTTTGTGCCCATTCAGTATGATAGTGGCTGTGGGTTTGTCATCAATAGCTTTTACTGTTTTTGAGATACATTCCTTTGATACCTGGTTTATTGAGAGTTTTTAGCACAAAGCGCTGTTGAATTTTGTCAAAGGCCTTCTCTGCATCTATTGAAATAATCATGTGGTTTTTGTCTTTGGTTCTGTTTATGTGGTGGATTACATTTATAGACTTGGGTATGTTGAACCAGCTTTGCATTCCCGTAATGAAGCGTACTTGATCATGGTGGATAAGGTTTTTGATGTGCTGTTGCAGTTGGTTTGCCAGTATTTTATTGAAGATTTTTGCATCTATGTTCATCATGGATATTGGCCTGAAGTTTTCTTTTTTTGTT